GATGTCGAAGAGGTTACTGCCTATATTCTCCTCTAGGATTCTGATGGGTTCCTGCCTCACATTGAGGTTTTTTATCCATTTCAAGTTTATCTTTGTGTATGGTGTAAGAGAATGGTCGAGTGTAATTCCTCTATACAGAGCTGTCCAATTTTCCCAGCATCATTTATTGAGGAGACTGCCTTTTTTCGACTGTATATTTTTTCCTGCTTTGTCGAGGATTATTTGACCATAGAGTTGAGGGTCCATATCTGGTCTCTCTACTCTGTTCCACTGGTGTATGTGAGATAGATAGAGACTCCTGGCTCCAGCCCTTTTTGGTCCCTGGCTTCCCTTCGCTCCTGCTGAGGCCAAGTAAAGGACTACTAGCCATTCTGTTTGACTAAGATAAGATAATAAGTCATTGCTCCTACTGAGCCCTAAGAAAAAGACCTGTTGCCCAGTCCTGTTTGTTTAAGAAAAGAAAGAGAAACAGTCCCCAAGGTGATTTAGGACTCTCCTGAGATGCCTCCACACAGATTATACTTCCACAGGAAAGGGCCATTTGGCGTTGAGAGACTGGGAAAGTGCCCTGGCCTTCAGAGAGGGAGAAAACACCTCGCTACCATCCCCCATTGGTTGTAACCATCAAAACTCACTCCTAAACCTGTCAGGTGCTCAGTCTTTGGGAAGGATCCCACTGAGCCCGATGGCATTAATAAAGCTGTGTTCTCCCATCTCTCCGTGTGCTGTTTGGGTTTTCTCAGCCACCTCAGATTTTCCACAACATACGTATCTGTTTTTATGCCAGTACCATGCTGTCTTGGTGATCACAGCTTTGTAGTAAAGCTTGACATCAGGAAACGTGATGCCCCCAGTTTTGTTTTTCTTTTTCAGCATTTCCATAGCAATTTGGGGTCTTTTCTGATTCCATATAAATTTTAGGATTGTTTGCTCCAGCTCTTTGCAAAATGCTGGTGGAATTTTGATTGGAATGGTATTGAAAGTACAGATTGCTTTAGGCAGTATAGACATTTTAACAATGTTTATCCTTACGATCCACGAGCATGGAATGGTCTTCCATCTTTTTGTGTCTTCTTCAATTTCTTTCATGAGTGTTCTGTAGTTCTCGAGTACAGATCCTTGACCTCTTTGGTTAGGTTTATTCCCAGGTATCTTATGGTTCTTGGTGCTACAGTAAGTGGAATCGATTCTCTAACTTCCCTTTCTGTATTTTCATTGTTAGTGTATAAGAAAGCAGTTGATTTCTGTACATCGATTTTGTATCCTGCCACATGACTGAATTGCTGAATGAGTTCTGGTAGTCTGGAGTCTTTTAGGTTTTCCATATCAAGTATCATGTCATGTGTGAAGAGAGAGAGTTTGACTTCTTCATTGCCGATTGAATACCTTTTATTTCTCTTTGTTTTCTGTTGCTGTTGCTAGGACTTCTAATACTGTGTTGAACAAGAGTGGTGAGAGTGGGCATCCTTGTGGTGTTCCTGATCTCAAAGGGAAGGCTGTCAGCTTTTTCCCATTGAGGAAGATATTCGCTCTGGGTTTTTTGTGTTTTTTTTTAAGATTTTATTTATTTATTTGACAGAGAGAGATCACAAGTAGGCAGAGAGGCAGAGAGAGAGGGAGAAATAGGCTCCCTGCTGAGCAGATAGCCCAATGTGGGGCCCTGATCCCAGTACCCTGAATTCATGACCTGAGCCGAAGATAGAGGCTTAACCCATTGAGCCAACCAGGCACCCCATCGCTATGGGTTTTTCATAGATAGATTTTATGTCACTTCGCCAATGAAGACATATAAATGCCTAACAGACACATGAAAAAATGTTCATCATCACTAGCCATCAGGGAGATTCAAATCAAAAAGCACATTGAGATACCACCTTACACCAGTTAGAATGGCCAAAATTAACATGACAGTAAACACCAAGTGTTGGAGAGCATGTGGAGAACAGGGAACCCTCTTACACTGTTGGTGGGAATGCAAGTTGGTGCAGCCACTTTGGAAAACAGTGTGGAGCTTCCTTAAGAAATGAAAAATAGAGCTCCCTTATGACCCTGCAATTGCGCTACTGGGTATTTACCCCAGAGACACAGATATAGTGAAAAGAAGGGCCATCTGCACTCCAGTGTTCATAACAGCAATGGCCACAGTCCCCAAACTGTGGAAAGAACCAAGATGCCCTTCAGTGGACAAATGGATAAGGAAGATGCGGTCCATATATACTATGAAGTATTACGTGTCCGTCAGAAAGGATAAATACCCAACTTTTATATCAACATGGATGGGACTGGAAGAGATTATGCTGAGTGAAATAAGTCAAGCAGAGAGAGTCAGTTATCATATAGTTTCGCTTATTTGTGGAGCATAACAAATAGCATGGAGGACAAGGGGAGATGGAGAGGAGAAAGGAGTTGGGGGAAATTGGCGGGGGAGACGAACCATGAGAGACTGTGGACTCTGAAAAACAATCTGAGGGTTTTGGAGGAGTGAGGGGTGAGAGGTTGGGTGAGCCTGGTGGTAGGTATTAAAGAGTGCAAGTATTGCATGGAGCACTGGGTGTGGTGCATAAAGAATTAATTCTGGAACACTGAAAAGAAATTTAAAAAATAAATAAAAATTCAAAAAAATTTTTAAAAGGGACAAGGTGAAAAGAAAAGGTTAAGTAAAATGTGGGATAAAGTTTGGTGGGGACAGTCAGGTAAGCAGTGAAGGTCAGGTGTTGGGGTCTAGCTGGAGATACTAACTCTTCTTCTTTAATCTTAGGGACCATTGTGAACTCTGTCAATGGCCTCTTGGTGACTGTGGTATTTATTGCAGGGACAGCTGGCCTTCAGGGACGTGGCCATCGAATTCTCAGAGGAGGAGTGGGGATGCCTGACCCACACTCAGTGGCAACTGTACAGGGATGTGATGTTGGAGAACTACAGACACCTGCTCTTCTTGGGTGAGAATGACTCCTTCCAGATTTCCCAGACCACACTCAGGGTTTCATTCTCCTTTGAAGACTGTCTCTTGGATGATTCCTCTTTGCATAACTGGAGATCAGGTCACTGCACTAAGGAACACAAGAAAGGATTGGTAGGTGTAGACAAAAATCCTCCTGATGATTGCTTTTCAGCTTTAGCCTCCCCTTCCTTCAGGTAACATCATTTCTATAGATCAGCAGCTGTTGAAAGCCTGGAGTGGCATAAAATAGTACTGCCTGCATTTAAACTCCAATTTTCACTCCTTATTATTGTATCGGCAGTACTTAGAAGCGCAAGTTAGGACATAACTATTTGAAAGTCCTTCATGTTCTACAGGGGCTGCTGGTCAAAAGTGTTTGGGAAATCATCTTTTAGAATTCTGCAATGTTCTCTCTCCTCTGCTAAGTGCAGTGTGGATTGAAAGACTCTCCAGCAATATGTGTATTCGGTTTCTCTATTAAACAGGTCTCACTGTGTCAAAGCCTGATTTGGTCTCCTTTTTGGAGCAAAAGAAGGACCCTTGGGATGTAAAGAGAAAGAAGACAGTGGTCTTTGATCCAGGTAGGTGGGAATGGATGAAGCGGATGACAGAGGTGAAGTCCAAGTCTGAAGGAGGAAGGTAAACCTTCAAATGTGGTTCCAGTAGCTCTGCTTGAATGAAAATCAGTTGGAGAAGCCCCTTCTTGTCTCTGTCTCTCCCAGAGGGACATCTGTGAGCCAACATCATCATGCTTTTATTTTCTCTAAGGATTCTGCTTCAGCTCCAGAGATGGTCCATCATGTCCACAGGGAGGACCAGGAGCCTCTCCTTGGACTGGGAGTGTCTCCATAATCTGAGAGCTCTTCCATTGCTTTGAGGGTGTTGGGAAAATCTCCTTATTTCTGAGGGTCTCTGTGCTAAGTCTCTTCTAAGTTCTGTTTTGCTTCATGTGAGAAACTGTACCCGCGTTGCAGTGGGCATACTGGGGATTAGTGTGGAAATTCCCAGAACACTGGAGATAGACACCACCTGGTTTCTGGCTTATGCTTTCCAATGTTATGGAGGCTTTAATCTTAAACATATAAAACTGAGACTCAGTCAGTTCATAGGGTTCCAAAGAATTTCCCTAAAATGAGACAATATAATTCTTTATTTCACTTCAAACGTTCATTTCTCCTTGTACAAAGGAGAAGTTTCTCTTCCATGTGTTCCATTCCTCAGTGGTGAATTAATGTAATGTAATGTAATGTAATGTAATGTAATGTAATGTAATGTTTGCTAGATTTCCTACACAAATTAATGTTATAGGGGATTCAGAACTTAAAGGAGCTCTCCTGTAGAAGATGATTTGTTTTAGTCATGCTTACTCAAAATTCTCTTGTCACCTCGGATTTTTTCTTTTAGAGGTTTTATTTATTTGTATGACAGAGAGAGAGAGAGAAAACACACAAGCAGGAGGAGTGCCAGGCAAGGGAGAGGGAGAAACAGGCTCACCGCCGAGCAGGTAGCCCTGTGTGGGGCTTGATCCTGACCTGAGCCGAAGGTAGCCACTGAACCCACTGAGCCACCAGGGACCTCTCACGTCTGATTTTTACTATGTGTCACTGTGTTCCTCTCTTGGCATTTATCGTACTATGAATTACTGAGATGGTTGGATTTCTCTTCTTTCCACTTACGTGTGCAGTAAAAGCCTTTAGTCATTCATGTCAACTCTATGCCCCCTTTCACTCTTCTCTCTTTATCGGGTCCCCTTAATGTACATATCGGTCCACTTATTGGTGTCTTACGAGTCCCATACCCTGTCTTTTTTTGACATTTTTCATTGATCTTCAAAACAAGGGGTCTTTAGATTGTCTGATTCTTTCTTCTGCTTGAGCATGTCTGTGGGTGACCCACTGGTGTGTTTTTACTTCAGTCATTATGTTTTTCAGCTCCCTGTTCCTGCTTGGCTGATAGTTATACTTCATCTCTTTGGGTTTACATTTTGGTCATGACATGTTTTCTGATCTCATTGAGTTACATACCTGCTTTCTCTTCCTTTCTCCATGCACATCTTTATGATGGTTAATTTTTTTGCCATGCAAGTAAGAGATATTTATTAACTGAGGGTTCATTTGTCGGATTTATTTTGTTCTTATGAAGGGAACACATTTTTCTATTTCCTTTATCACCTTGTGATCTTCTGTTGACGTTTCAGAATTTTTTAAAAAAATAAAGCCTCTGGGCCCAGGTTTATGGACTTGCTTTGTAGAAAAGAACACAGACAATAGCAATTATGGCATCTGTCACACATAACCTGGACATTTGTCATGTCTAAATTTTTGTAATTTCCCAGGTGACCAAAGTGCAGTTACTTCTTTTACAGCCCATGATACCTTCCTCTCTCTGTTTCCCTTCAGATTATCATCTGTCCATTGTTTGAAGAAATGGTCAACCTTTTGTCTGAGTAGCTACCACACTGCTTCTTCCCATCTTAGTTGGTCTTCTCTTTCAATCTGAACTTGATTTGGTTACAGATCTGTCAATTTTGATTTCTTTTTCCTGAAAACTAAATCCTCCTATTGATACTTTCTTATTCTTGCTAAATTCTATTTTCTTCATTTCTGTTTTATGTTTAATTTCCTTTCTTCCATGGGTGCCAGGATGACTTGTGTTTAAGCCTTTGACTTCAGCTCAGGTCATGATCTCAGGGTCCTGGGACTCAATCCTGCTTCAGGCTCCCTGTTCAGCAAGGAATCGACTTGCCCCTCTCCTTTTGACCCTCACCTCACTCATGCTCTCCCTTTCTGTCTCTCTCCCTCTCTCTCTCTCAAATAAGTCTGTAAAAAATCTTCCTTCCTTCTGCTGATTTTGAGCTCATATAATGGTACTTTTCATGATTATTTGATATAGAGGAGAGTGATTTATGTTACACCCTGACAATACTATAGACTTTTCTTTGAAGCTGTGTGGTCAGAATGTTGTGTGCAAATTGATGTGTCCATGGAGGAACAAAGTCCTGATGCTTCCTTCTCAGGCATTGTGCTGATGTTCTCTGATTGATTTTATGGTTGCTGTGTTAGACATCCTCAGTATATTCATCTGAAAGTAGTAATTAGATGAATTTACTTTTCTGTTTTTCAATATCTTTCAGCTGTATCTTCACAGGACACCCTGAGCTTCCTGCCAGAGCCATGCAAAGAAGCTTCATTTCAAAATGTGTCAGTGGGTCGATATAAACATACTGTCCTTGGGAAGTTACACCTAATGATAGACTGGGATAATGATCATAAAGGATATATCCAAATTGAGACTACTGCCCATGATAGTGAAAGATACAAAATACTTGGTAAAACCTTCCTTTTTAAGTCCATTAGTTCTGCAAGGCAGGGTGTTTCTGTCAGCAGGAGCTCCACTCAAACACTCAAACATCCATATTTATGGATGGAGAATGAGGAACATCTGGAAAGTTACCAAGCCTGTGCTGAAAATAATGATTTGAACAATTTTGAAAATAGGATTGGATTGACCTTTCATTCAAATATTTCTAAACTTCAGAGATTTCAACATGGAGAAACAACTGCTAAGTGGGATCCATTTGAGAGGTCCTTCACTAAAGACTCAACCCTTCAAAATTCCCAAAGCTTTTTCAATGGAGAGGGAATTGGTCAAGGCAGTGAATCTGAGAAAAAAATTCATCCAGGCTCAAATGTTAATAAATATCTGAGGATTCATTTTGCAGAGAACCATTTTAAACCTATTAAACGTGGGGAAGACTTTTCTCAAAGATCTATTCTTCTGTCTAACAGTATGCATATAAGAGAGAATCCTAATGAATGTGAAAGAGATTTTAACCAGTCCTCCAGTTCTGGTGATCATCCAAAAATTTATGTGGGAAAAAACCCATCCAGATATAAGAAGCCTGGGAATACGTTTAGTCAGTCATCAGGAACACATATACATAAGACAATCTGTAGTGGAGAGAAACCTTACAAAAGTAAAGAATACAGCACAGACTTTAAATTACCATTGACCCTTACTCACCATCAAAGAATTCATTGTGGAGGGAAACCTTACCAATGTCAAGAATGTGGGAAGGCCTTTAACCAGATGTCACACCTTACTGAACATCATAGAATTCATACTGGAGAAAAACCTTACTACTGTCAAGAATGTGGCAAGGCCTTTATCCATCAGTCAGGCCTTAACTACACATTACAGAGTTCATACTGGAGAGAAACCTTACAACTGTGTAGAATGTAGCAAGGCCTTTAAGTGGGAATCCAGCCTTACTCAACATCACAGAATTCATACCGGAGAGAAACCTTACAAATGTGAAGAATGTGGCAAGGCCTTTAGGCGGCAGTCAGACGTTATTGAACATCGCAGAATTCATTTTAGAGAGAAACCTTACAAATGTAAAGAGTGTGGGAAGGCCTTTAAGCAGCACTCAGTCCTTTTTCACCATCAGAGAATTCATACTCGAGAGAAACCTTACAAATGTACGGAGTGTGGGAAGGTCTTCAAGCAGCTCTCAGCCCTTACTCACCATCACAGAATTCATACTGGAGAGAAAACTTACAAATGTAAAGACTGTGGCAAGGCCTTTAGCAGGCATTCAAGCCATACTCAACACCACAAAATCCATACTGGAGAGAAGCCTTACAAATGTAAAGAATGTGGCAAGGCCTTTATCCGTAAATCAGGCCTTACTACCCATCACAAAGTTCATACCGGAGAGAAACCGTATAATTGTGAAGAATGTGGCAAGGCCTTTACCTATAAATCAACCCTTACTAATCATCACAGAGTTCATACTGGAGAGAAACCTTACAGCTGTGTAGAATGTGGCAAGGCTTTTAAGCAGGAATCAAGCCTCACTCAGCATCACAGAATTCATACTGGAGAGAAACCTTATAATTGTGAAGAATGTGGGAAGGTCTTTATGTTCCATTCAGGCCTATCTCAACATCGCAGAATTCATATTGGAGAGAAACCTTACCAGTGTAAAGAATGTGGCAAGGTATTTATGTTCCATTCAGGCCTTACTCGACATCAGAGAATTCATTCTGGTGAGAAACCTTACAAATGTCAAGTATGTGGCAAGGCCTTTAAGTGGCATGCATCCCTTCGTGTATATCACTTAAGTCATACTGGAGAGAAACCTTAGAAATGTAAGGAATGTGACCAGGGCTTTATCCATCAGTCACACCTTACGCAACATCACAGAATTCCTCCTGGAACTAGTCCTAACAGTTTTGAAGACTGAGAGAATTTGGGAGGACTGCCGAACTCTAACTCCACATCGGAGAATTCATTTTGGAGAGTGATTATACACACAAAAAGAATGTGGCAAGACCTTTAGGCAATGCTAAACCCTTGTTCCTTATCCAAGAATGTATAGTGGAGGTGATTTTACACATAGAAAAATACAGCAAACCCTTTCCTAGTGCTCAAGCCTCCCCCAGCATTACAGAATTCATAGTAGAGAGAAACCTTGTAAAGAATGTGGTAAAGCTTTTGGATTGCTCAACACTTAAGTCAGCATCCCAGAGTTCATACTGAGGAGAAATACTAGAAATGGAAAGAACATGGCAGGCCTCTGGCTGGACGTCATAACTTGCTCAACATCATTGTTACCATCCAGGAGCAAAACTGTAATATGTAAAGACAGTGGCCAAGCCTTTAACTAAAATTCAGTCCTCACTCGGTATCCCAAAATGCAGTCTTGGGTCAAACTTTACAAACATAATGAATGAGGAAAGACTGTCTCTTACAGTTTAGGAAACATCAGAGAATTCAGAGAAGAAAAGGAACTTGACAGATAAAAGTCCATAGAAATGTATTTAGTTGAACATCAAATGCCAATAAATGTCATAGAGTTTCCAGAACAGAGCAGTACACCAGTCACTCTCTTCGTAGATTATATAAAAAAAATCTTAATGCAAAGTTAGTTAGATAATGTATGTGCTATTATGCTTCAAAAGATAGAAGGGATTTTCGCATGGATATAATTTCAGTGTGTTTGTGTTTCCATTGATGCTATATGAGATTTGTGACTTGTAATTATTCATGTGCTTCTACTCTGAGAACTCTTCAGAAAATTCATTTATTCCTAGTAAGTGTGTGAACGTATGTGGGTCATCGTTGTTGCATCAGGGATATGAGATGCCCTTCTTCTTTAGGTGGTACTTATGCATATCTAATTTCCATGGAAGATGAAGGACTGTGTAACATACAATATATTAGGAAAATCTAAATGAATATTCCTCCTGTGGTTATAACATTGATATAGATCCTCATGAAGTAGTTGTTTAGGACATCATTCTCCATTTATTAAAACTAAAAAAAAAAAAAATTGTGACCATTACCAATTACAGGTTTTGCTAATTGGAGTTTTTAATGAAAACAAGATGGCAGTCTTCACAGTAGTAATTGTTAGAGAGTCTGAGTTGATGGGGTTGAAATGAAGAAATCCTGACATACCAGAGAATAGCTAACTTCTGTAAAATGACATACACTCGTATATCCACATTTTTAGAGAATTACCAGAGTCCTGAAAGTGTTTTCGTATGAAATACTAGCTGGTAAGAAGTTAAAATAGAGTGCTACCAGATGTCTTCTCTAAGCCTCGCGGTAATGACAAAATCAAAGCAATGTAGTTGATACAGAAGACATAAAGAGAAAATAATCTAAGTATTCCCTTCTTTAAAATCATCAAATCACAATGATAGCTAATGAATGAGAAAGCGATGAATAATTCTAAACAGCCAGACTGTAACTCCATACTTGTAGTGATACTTGCTTTAAATATAAAGGGCCTAAATTCTTGAATCCAAAGATACAGATTGCCTTAAAGGAAAGAAATACAAGACCCAACCGTATACAGTCTTCAAGAGAATCACTTCAGCTTTAAGAACATTCTGACTGAAAGTGCAGGTGTGGAAAAGAATATTCCATGCAAATGAAATCGAAAAGAAAGCAGGTTAGCTCTGCTTACATCAGGGAAAATAAACATTAAGCCAGAGAGTGTAGTAAAACAGAGGAAAGCTCATGTAACATAATGGGCTCACTTTGTGCAGTGTTTAATTGTGTGGATTTTGGCAGAATGTCAAAAAAGACTTCCCCTATTGTTTTGATTTTGGAAGGACAGGAATAGTATGATTATGTAACTTGTGTAATACTTTCCTCTTCCAAAACCGGTACCTTTTCCCATAAATGTTGTGGTGTTTGTCCAGGTACCTCAACTGTAGCTTGTGCTAAGATTTATGAACATTGATATGTTAGGAGTCCCCTAAACAAGTAGTTGATTTTCAAAACCCTTTTTCTGTTTTGAGGGTTGGGGGAAAAAAAACACTAAATAACAATTATAGAAAACCTACTGCTGTCGGATTTCTGATGTGTGTGGAAAAATATGGTTACTCGGAAAATCTTGTCACCTTACTGTAATAAGTAGCCAATAATTTATCAAAACTCACTTGTAGAGGCTAATCTTTTCCACAGTATTCAGTTGTCTAACATCTTGCTATTATACATTGCATATTTTTTTCATGTGTTATTTCATTTACATTGTTACCTGTTATTTTTTTTTTTTTTTTAATTTGACAGAGAGGGAACACAAGCAGGGGGAACGGCAAGCAGAGGGAGAGGGAGAAGCTCCCTGTGCGGCAGTAGGGCTCAATCCCAGGACCCTATTATCATGACCTGAGCTAAAGGGAGATGCTTAACTGACTGGCCCACCCATCTGCCCCTGCTATCTGCTATTTAAAATCCCTAAGTAAATGACTTGGACTTTCAGTCAGGATACCATAATGCCCTTCAGGAAGATTCCTGATATTATTTCCGGGCAGCTTTTCTTTATATTCAGTTGCAAATGATAGGCTTCCTGTGGGTCACCTTTGCCTTAGTTGTGATAGTGGATTTAGTCCAAGCTGGGTTTTTTCCGGAAATGTACATCTTCCCGTAAGAAACCCTTATATTCTAGTTGCTTCAACGTTTGTAGCATGGCTTACCTATGACTAACAGTTGTATATGTTATATATGCATTTACTAAATATAAAAGTTTCACTCCTTTAATTTTGGAGAAAGGTAGCTAACACATGTAGGTATGATTTATTACATTAAAGCTGTAGGTTTGTGTATTCATGGAGAGTCTGTAGTGACAAGACATTTCTCTTTATTGCTTTCTGCTCCTTGAGCAAAGGGAAGAACAGTCTTTTTGTGCATTGGATGGTTGTGTTGATTTGTCAAAATTTGGATACATAGGAGTCACTCACTTCTAAAGACTAATTTTGTTTGATAGATCTATAGTATTCTTCTGCATTTTTCAAATGAATGCTTTTCCTTGAAAAAAGTAATAAAGGGGTCAATTCAACAAACAGATACAACTTTTATAATTATTTATGCACGCAACATAAAAGCACATAACACATGAAGCAGCTATTAGCAGACAAGAACAGAGGAAGATTCAGCAGTACATTAGAGGGGGACTTAGATACTGTGCCTTCAAGGGTGGGTGGATTATCCAGACAGCAAATGAGTGAGGGAACATCAGACTTCAATGATAAGAGGCAGGCAGACGTCCAACACTATCCAACAGCATCCGAGAACACATTCTTCCCAGATGCACATGGAGCATTTTCCAGTATAGAGTATATGTTGGGCCACAAAACAAGTTTTTTTTTTTTAAGATTTTTATTTATTTATTTATTTGACAGGCAGAGATCACAAGCAAGCAGAGAGGCAGGCAGAGAGAGAGGAGGAAGCAGGCTCCCCGCTGAGCAGAGAGCCCGATGTGGGGCTCAATCCCAGGACCCTGGGATCATGACCTGAGCCGAAGGCAGAGGCTTTAACCCGCTGAGCCACCCAGGTACCCCACAAAACAAGTATTAATAAGTTAATGATTGAAA